ACAGTAGAAGATCTTAAGGTATATAGAGATTCCAATCATACATCCAAACCGGAGACCAAAACCAGCAAGTGACCATACCACGACGACCAGGACGACGAGATGAAGAGATCACCGTCGAGATCGCCGCCGCACGCCGCCGCACGCGCCCACACACGCCGTCGGGAGTTCGCTGCTGCTGGGAGTCACTCGCGCGCGTGAGAGCGCGTGGAATGTCCATTTTCCGACCGGTCAACGCCGTTGACTTCGCCGTGATGTGAGCTTTCTGGATTGGTCACGTTTGTTCGATTCCGAGAAGATTTTATTTGCGGTCAACTGTTCGGGCCAGCCAGATCTACATAAATTTTGAGCAGTAAGTTTTCTTCATCAAACCTTTAGATCCGCTGCGCATAGGTTTATGTTGAATGTTTGTCCGTGATTTGTGCATATCGAGATCCTCATGGGTTCCAACAATTTTTTCAGTTTGATCAGGATACGATTATCAGCACTACCTTTTTATTCAGACGGATCAGGTGGTGACTCAGACTGGGTATTACATTGATTATAATTATTCTACCATGTTTGAGGTATGTATTATCAGTATCCGCTCGAAATGGTCGCCGGTCCATTCTGGGTTCTAGTGGCCTTAGTCTGCCCACTAGAGTGTGCACATGGTGTCCGACATTTATGCTGGCAGATGTTCAGGAATCAGGCAGGTGATGATTATCTCACCATCAGTATCAGATCATGATTATTCAGTACCAGTTTCAATTCAGTTCAGTTCAGTTCAGTTATATATGCCAGGATCATGTTATTGTAATTATTTTCATTGTTTACTTTAGTATGAGTTTCTACGGAGCACAGTGGACTTAAGTGCTCACGCCCCACTTTTATCATGTTTTTCAGGTCATGGAGTCGGGCCGGAGGTGTGAGATGACGATCGGTTCAGGATTATGCTTATAAAGTTTAAATTATACGGGAGTTATGCTTATAAAGTTTAAATTACGTTTTGTACAGTTTAAATTTGGCATAGCAGTGCTATTGCTATCTCCCGTAGACTCATTTTCATGATCATACCACTGCTATCCTGTTTTGCCGCTACAGTTTTCGCTGACGTTTCACTGTTCGTCATTTTTAGTCCTTTTTTACCGTCAGCAAACTGTGAGTCCGTTTTCTTAAAACAATCTAATTTTAAAGTAAGGCATGTATTATGGTAGCACTCCGAAACAGTATTTGGCAAACCATTCAGTATTTTGTTTAAAAAGGTTTGTATAAACGCTCTCTGATTTTCATGTTAAGGCAGGGTGTTACAGTTGGTATCAGAGCACGTTTTTGCGTCTCTGAAAAATTTTACGAGTCAGAAAATTTTTGAAAACCTGAACACGTCACGCTCATGCCTCGCTGACTACAGGTAAGTGCTGATTCATATTTTCAAATTATAAACAAGTTACTATTTCTATGCTCAGAAATTTTCAGTTATAAATTAGTTAAGATGCTCTAATCATGTTCAGGATCAGTAGTTCAGGATATCAGTCAGTATTTTCCTAGTCATGTTTAGCAACTCGTCAAGAGGTCTGTGTGCTTCTATGGTCAGTTAAAGTATTTCATTGTATGTTAATCATGTTTAACCTTTTCAATATTCAGATGCCACCCCGTAGAGAACCCGACCGTCCTGTTGTTTCTCAGTCTACGATAGTCGCACAATTTCGCGACTACCATCCTGAGAAATTTTCTGGCCAAGGAGATCCACGTATTGTAGACGAATGGGTTCAGGGACTTGAATTGATTTTCGAGGTCCTAGACTGTCCAGATCGCTATCGCGTTACTTGCGCACAACTTCAGTTGATCGGTGATGCTCGACTATGGTGGAATGCCTACTAGAGTATGTGTCCCAGAGAAAAGGAAGGTTGTACTTGGGAGAGGTTCAACGAGATGATCCGTGAGAAGTATTATACCACGTACTACCGAGCAGAAATAGAGCGTCAATTCTTGTCGCTCAAACAGGGTACTCGTTCGGTTGATGAGTACGAGAGAGAGTTTACTAGACTCGGAGCTTTTGTTCCAGATCTAGTACGTACGGAGGCACAAAAGGCACAAGGTTTTACTGACGGGCTTTACCCAGCAGTCCGTCATAACATTGTAGGTCACGGGACCCAGACGTACGCCCGTACCGTTTCTATTGCCCAGGAGGTGGATGCCAACATTCGTAGGGAGGCTAACAGAGATCGTCCTCAACCAGTTGCCCCAGCCCAGTCATCTACAGCTCCACAAGTGCCACCAGCTGTTGGCCAACCACCGAATGGTCAGAAGAGGAAAGGGAAAGGTGCCCAGACGGATAGGAGGACCCGACAGAGGCCACATCAGATCCCACAGTGCCCCACTTGCGGACGACTTCATCACGGAGAGTGTCACATGGGCCAGGATATTTGTTATTACTGTCATGAGCCCGGACATTTTTCTAACCGCTGTCTGAAGAAACTCCAGCAGTAGCCACGTCAGCCACAGCAGCCACAGCAGCAGCAGCAGCAGCCCCGACAGCAGGCTCAGAGGCCACCCCAGCAGCAACAGAGGGGCAGACACCAGGGCCGTGTTTATGCGGTCGATCAGGCCAAGGCGGAGCAACACCCAGGTACCATGTCTGGGATGCTTATGCTTAATGATATTCTCGTCTTCGCGTTATTTGATACTGGAGCGACTCATACTTTTATATCACGACGATGTCTCGATGCCATCAGAGTTCATGTCAATATCGCTGTCGATCCTCTCGAGGTGAGTTTAGCCTCGGGACGAAAGATAGTGACTTCAACCAAAGCCGCAGATCTCAGTCTTTCTATTGGTGGCCGTATATTGTCTACCGACGCTTATGTTCTCGAGATGAGGGACTTTGACCTCATACTCGGCATGGATTGGCTAACACGTTTTCATGCAGATATCCAATGTCATGACCGGGAGATTACCCTTTATCTTCCGAGAGATGATCAGATCACTTTCTTCAGTACTAAGACTCGTTCCTTGCCTCATATCATTTCTATGGCGAAAGCCAAGAAGATGTTGCGATGAGGCAACTGTCAGGGTTATCTAGTCAGCCTTATTGATGATTCTCTGAAGGCACGCTCACCTCATGACGTTCCTATCGTTCGTGAGTTTGTGGACGTGTTTCCGGACGAGCTTCCAGGAGGACTGCCTAACCGTCAGGTAGAGTTTTCTATTGATCTTATTCCAGGAGCCGCCCCAGTTTTTAAAGCACCCTATCGTATGGCGCCAAAAGAATTGCAGGAGCTTAAGGCGAAAATTCAGGAGTTATTGTGACTCGGTTTCATTCGGCCGAGTGTTTCACCTTGGGGAGCACCCGTTCTCTTTGTCAAGAAGAAGGACGGATCCATGCGCATCGACTACCGGGATCTTAACCGGTTGGCGATCAAGAACAAATATCCGCTTCCCAAGATTGACGATTTATTTGATCAACTCAGGGGAGCTTGTGTTTTTTCTAAGATTGATTTGCGATCGGGCTACCATCAGCTGAAAATCAAGGAGTCAGACATTCTCAAGACCGCTTTCCATACTCGTTACATTCATTACGAGTTCATTGTCAAGCCATTTGTTCTCAGCAATGCCCATGCGGTTTTTATGGATCTGATGAACCGTATCTTCCATCCCTATCTTGATCAGTTTGTCATTGTTTTCATTAATGATATTCTTATCTACTCAATGAGCCAGAAGGAACACGAGGAGCATCTGAGGGTTGTTCTTGAAATCCTTAGACGAGAAAAGTTGTATGCAAAATTCTCCAAGTGCGAATTCTGGCTTCAGCAAGTAGCTTTTCTTGGTCATGTGATTACTCAGGCAGGTATTGAGGTCGATCTTTCCAAAGTTGCAGCCGTTCAGAACTGGTCGACACCGAAGAGTCCGTCCGAGGTTCGCAGTTTTCTCGATTTGGCTGGTTATTACCGCAGATTCATCGAGGGCTTCTCCAAGATTGCCCTTCCTTTATGCCAGCTGACGAGGAAGTCGGTGGAGTTCGAGTGGACTGATCATTGTGAATCGATCTTTCAGGAGCTCAAGAGGAGACTAACTTTTGCACCGGTGTTGACTATTCTCGATCCTTCTCGGAGTTTCACCATTTTCAGTGATGCTTCAAGACAGGGTTTGGGATGTGTACTTATGCAGGAGGGCCAGGTCGTTTCTTATGCTTCACGCCAACTAAAGCCACACGACCATAACTATCCGACGCAAAACTTGGAGCTAGCTGCAGTTGTTCATGCCCTTAAGATTTGGCGACATTATCTGTACGGCGGTAGATGCGAGATTTTTACCGATCATAAGAGCCTACAGTACATTTTCACTCAGCAGGAGCTCAACATGAGACAGCACCGTTGGTTAGAGCTTGTCAAGGATTATGATTGCACGATCCAGTACCATCCAAGGAAGGCGAATATTGTTGCCGATTCCCTAAGCCGCAAGGTGAAGGGTGACTTGATGTACGTTGTTACTCAGCAGAGTCAGTTGATTCAAGAGTTTGCCCAGATGCAGATTCAGGTTGTTGACGCACTTCCTATAGTTATTTCGGGGAGTGTCAGTTCCATGCAGGTTCAGCCGATGCTGAGGGAGAGAATCCGACGAGAGAAGGCTGCGGATGAGTTCGTTCGTATCATTGATGCCAAAGTCCGCGCTGGAGACATCGAGGGTTTTTACCGAGGCACAGATGGGGCCTTGGAGTTTCGCGGCAAGATTGTGGTGCCAAAGGTCGAGGCGTTGAGGAAGGAGATCTTGACAGAGGCTAATACCGCACCATATCTAGCCCATCCAGGAAGTACAAAGATGTATCATGACCTGAAAAGGTCATTTTGGTGGCGAGGTTTGTAGAAAGACGTAGCTGACTTTGTAAGAAAATGTTTAACCTGTCAGCAAGTCAAAGCCGAACACAAGAGTCCCATAGGCCATCTGCGACCACTACCGATTCCGAGGTGGAAGTGGGAGGATGTCACGATGGATTTTGTCACGGGGTTACCAAGGTCGTCTGAACATCACGACGCTATTTGGGTCGTGGTCGACAGATTGACTAAGGTTGCTCATTTCTTGTCAGTATCGATGAATATGTCTTTGGATAAGTTGGCTGAGATTTATACCCGTGGGATCGTTCGACACCATAGAGTGCCTGTTACCGTTGTGTCAGACAGAGACCTCCGATTCATTAGTAGATTATGGTAGAGTTTACACGAGGCGATGGGCACGAAGCTAGTATTCAGTACAGCCTACTATCCAGAGACTGATGAACAGTTAGAACGGACCATTCAGACGTTGGAAGATATGTTACGGGCTTTGGTTGTTGACAGGGGTGCCAAGTGGGAGTCGTTGTTGCCATATGTCGAGTTCGCATACAACAACAGTTATCATTCTTCTATTCAGATGGCTCCTTACGAGGCACTTTACAGTCGTAAGTGTCGTTCTCCTCTTTATTGGGACAATGTCGGTGAACGTCGAGTACTCGGTCCGAAGATGACCGAGAAGACAACAGAGCAGGTCGAGTTTATCCGGCAGAGACTCAAGACAGCACAGAGTCGACAAAAATTCAGCCGATCAGCATCGACGAGATATTCAGTTCGAGGTTGGCGAACGAGCTTTTCTCAGAGTTAGTCCATTTCGCGGAGTTATTCGATTCGGGAAGAGAGGGAAATTGCACCCTGGATTCATCGGCCCGTTCAAAGTACTTGAGCAAGTGGGCGAGGTTGCGTATCGATTGGCCTTACCTCCCGAGTTATCCAGTGTTCATAATGTTTTTCATGTATTCATGTTACGTAAATACGTGTGCGACCCCGATCATGTCATTTCTCATACCAATATTCAGATCTATCCAGACTTATCTTACGAGGAGCGACCAGTAGCGGTGTTGGATCGACAGGTTCGACGACTCTGGAAGCGTGATGTTTCCCTCGTTCATATTCAGTGGGATCGCCACGGAGCTACTTGGGAGCAGGACGCTGATATTCGTGCTTGTTTTCTTGATTTTCAGTTCTGATGTAGATGTTCTTTTATGTTTCATGTATATAGGTTCCGTTTTACATTTCCGAGGACGAAAATATTTTAAGGGAGGCAGATTGTAATATCCCGTCATGTTTATTAATGTGATATCATGTTAAAAAATTATATTATCAAGTATTATCGTTCAGAGCTATTTAATTCAGTTGAGAACACTCGAATTAATTTTTGAATATCACGTCATGTTCGGAATAATTTCTGATATTTAATTCATGTCAAATCGCTCGATAAATAGTTTATCGAGCTTAATCATGCTTAATGAAGGTGTTAAGTATCTTGTATTACCAACAAATCATGTTAATTATGCTAACCCTAACCCTAAGCAAGGGTTAGTGCACGCCTAAGTACACTTATGCACGTCATTAGCACGATCTTCATGAACAATCATCAAGCACGCATTAGCACAAGCCACAGTACTTAGCACACGCATTAGCGTGCATAAGTATGTTTAGCTTGGCCATCATGGCCGAGATTTAATGCTCCACACTCACACGTGAAGGTCATGATGACTTAGTACACATGGAAGTTGGAGAGTGTCTTGAGGGGTGACTAGGCCAAGCAAGTGATGAGTAAGCACCATGAGGGCCAGCTAAGGCCATGAGAGCACGACACTTGGCGCACGGCCATTGGCCGAGACATTTCATCCCAAATTCACCATCGTTTAACTTCCTTTAAATTTGATGTTGGGGTGAAAAGATATCTTATTACCTAAGCTTCTTGTTCAGCAAATATTAAGTAAGATTAGCCCTAAACACACGCACACGACAAGAACACGCACGCACTCGCGCGGAGAGGAGGAATCACACCGTCCTTGTGTATTCAGCCAAACACTTGAGGAGGTAACTTCATCCTGAACATCTTTACATGTTAATAAGATCATGTTAGGGTCGAATTATTCAGCTCATGTCAAGAAATCCATGAAAAATGCTAAGTTACACTCGGTTTAAGTCATGTTAGTCCATACCGAGTTAAGTTGATTTTTATCCGGCAACTCTTGAGTGTTGAATGTGTATTTAGTCATTATTCAGCATATTATGATCAGTTAAGTCTTGGTGATCGAGAAATTTCATGTTCGGTCGAGCAATTGGCTTAACGTCGATTATATGCGCATGGTGCGCGTACCTCGGCACTTCATTAGTCCAGCGAGTAAGGTTCGTAAATTTTGAGAAGAATCAGCATATATGATCATGTCATGTATTATTATGTTGAATCATGTTGATGTTGCCGGAGAAAGTCGCCGGACGGCCGACGAGGGTCAGCTGTGATGGCACTGCCCGCACGTAGCGGCTGCAGTGTACCGGCATTGACGCACGCGGTGCGGGTAATGTGCGTGTATGCTGTGTAGGCGTCGCGCATGGTCACTAACAGTAGCAGGTAGCAGTTGGCAGTGCACGGGTGCATACCAACGTCTAGTCACACACGCCAATGTATGGTAACGCACGCCAACGTGCAGTAGTAAGCATCGGCAGCGCCCAACAGCTTGCCCAAGTGGCCAATGCCGCGGGAGTCACACGGCAGCGGCCGCGCGGTATCTATTCATGCCCAGCCAGCGCCTAGGGGCGCACTCATGTGTTCAGCAGCACGTTGCAGTGTGCGGTACTGTGCCCAGTCGTGCGGCAGCCGACGCACATAGCGTTCGGTCACGCCAATTATCGTCATGTGCATCCAGTAGCGCCCAGTCGGGCCTAGTTCATGCTCAGCCGCGGCCAGACGCCGCAGCACCATAACCCAGGCCCTCGGCAGGCCCTGCAGCCATCACGCCCACACCCAGCTCGGCAGTGGCCACGCCCGCAACCTCGGCAGACCGTGGCCCGAGCCAGCGGCTGACTGCCCGGTCATAGCCAGGCGGCGGTTCGGCCAGATCAGTTTAGACCTAGTTCAGACCGGTTTGGACATGTTCGACCCAAATTTTAATATTTAAATCCCGGATCATGTTTGTAGTCCCATTTTCAGTTAATATTCCGGGTCAGGTCCAGTTCAGTAAAATTCATGTCAGTTCAGTTCTGATATTATCCAGTTTCGGATATACCGGTTAAATCCAAACGTCATGTTTAAGTCCAGTAGAGCATCTTAACATATCAAAAAGTTATTTTTATCAGTCTGAGCATAGTATTTAGTAATTGTTTATATTATTTTTTCAGTTCGATCAGGATACGATTATCAGCACTACTTTTTTATTCAGACGGATCAGGTGGGGACTCAGACAGGGTATTACATTGATTAGAATTATTCTACCATGGTAGAGGTATGTGTTATCAGTATCCGTTCGGAATGGTCGCCGGTCCATTCTGGGTTCTAGTGGCCTTAGTCTGCCCACTAGAGTGTGCACATGGTGTCCGACATTTATGCTGGCAGATGTTCAGGTACCAGGCAGTTGATGATTTGTAACACCCCGGACAAAAATTATATTAGTAGCTCGACTTATTTATCGGATTAAGTATTATTTTAATTATGCAGAGAATTATTAATATTAATTGCATAATTTATTTATTATTAAGCCCAAGTAGTATTTAATAATCGAGCCTAGTAGCAATTATTTATCCGAGCCCAAGTTGTAAAAATCGAGCCCAATTGATTAGGCCCGATTTTTAAAGCCCAATTCCAACTAAAACCCTAAGCTACCTACCCATCTATAAATAGCTTGCCCCCATATTCCCCAACATCACAACAAAAAGAGCAAAACCCCAGCCACCATTTACATCTTCTTCAACCTCTCAAGCTCTCATCTTCTCCCAAATTTCCGAGCAGCTCCCGGCCGTTCTTCAGCTCATTTTCCGACCGGCGACCCACAGCCACGAACTCACCTCCGGCGAGCTCATCACCACCATCCAAGCTCAGCCCCAAACCCGCAGCTCTCGGCCAGGACCCCCCCAGCAGCTCAGTCGCGACCCGATCATCCCGCCACTCACGTGAGCTCCTTTCCGCCGGCGAATATCGACCCTCAGCTCAAGCTAGCGCCGCGACGAGCCTTCACGCGACCCGCGACTGAGCAGTCCCGCCGGCGAGCTCTCAAATCCGACCAAAACCCGCAGCTCCGCCGCGTACCATCATCTCCGGCGAACTGACAGCAAGCTCGCGACCATTCTCGGCGAGCTCCCCACGGCAAGAACAGACCCAGCAGCTCGAAACCCGACCAATTTCCGAGCTCCCTCACGCGACCCGAACTCTGACCCGCGACAGAACAGCCCCGCGACTGAGCAGTCCATTTCCGGCGAAGCTCGTCCCTGCCGCACCACCGTCCTCTCCCAGCTCCTCCACGGCGCCGACCACGAGCCCAGCGCCCCGATTTCTGACCAGACCAAGCCCCAGCGGTCCATCCGCGCGACCCAGCGGCTGCAACCCACATTTGGGTTTCTTTGACCCGGTCAACACACCGACCCGACCGGCTTCTTGCTCTGTTTTTCTTCCATTTTCTAGTCCGATCCGCTCTTTCCCGATCTCGTGAGGTATAATATCTAAAGACTTGAATGATATGGAATAATTTGATGATAAAAACGAGATAAAAATTAATTGAGATGTTGATTTGAGTTGGATCGGTACATACGAGCTTAAAGCGAGTAAATTGATATTTTCGATAAACGCGTTAAAAATGTCGAAAAAATATGATAAAATTCGTATAGCTGACTTGAGGCCTAGGTTTTAATTTTGTAATTTTTGGTGCTCGTTTTGTATGTTCACTGGATTTTTGAATATGTAGCTGAAATGCC